AAGGACCCTTCAGGTAAGCCAATGGTCTTTCTCTCCTTGATTAGTTTCCACCCATTGCTTCTTGTTCTACCCTCAGGTGCCTTGGAGAATAGTTTGAACTATCACTTCTTTGTGGCAACCCCTGAGATATTGGAACACTGCTATCACGTCTCCCCTAGTCCTTCTTTCTATTAAACTAGACATACCCAGTTCCTGCAACCGTTCTTCACGTTTTAGCCTCCAGTCCCCTAATCATCTTTGTTGCTCTTCTCTGCACTCTTTCTAGAGTCTCCACATTTTTTGTCTCCACATCGTCAATACTTCCTACTCAGTCTGGAGTTCGATCCTGACTGGCTCAAGGTTGACTCAGCCTTCCATCCTTCCAAGGATGGTAAAATGAGGACCTAGATTGTTGGGGCAATAGCCTGTAAACTGCTTAGAGGGTTGTAAAGCACTGGGTGTCAGGGTTTCAAGTAACACCCCCCCCCAAACTAAAGAAGACTTCAAGGCGTGAGGTTCCGCAAAGTTCCATTCTTTTAAAGAAGTCATATTGGCACATCTGGGAAAACCCGAAACTGAAAGCTTCCTGGTTTTCCCCACCCAAGTGAAAGTCCAAGCCCCTGCCCACCACTCATATGTCCATCACATGGCCCAATCAGGCACCGTCCCAACAGGAGATGCCTCCCAGTCATACCACTCCAAGGGCAGGGCAAAGTGTCCTTGACTCTCTAAGAAAGGAATGTTATTCAGACTATATATCTCCCATACTTCATATAATCCCCCCTCCATTTTCCCAAGTAGAAAATGTGGCGGGCCTGAAAGCCCAATGTAAAAGATGGCTTCCAGACCTGACACTGTCAAGCGGTACATACCGTATTTTTCAGAGTATAAGATGCACCTTTTTCCCTTCAAAAAGAGGCTGAAAATCTAGGTGCATCTTATACACTGAATACAGCATTATTTGCTTCCCGAAACTCCGCCCCTTTCACCAAAATGGCCATGAATAGCTTTTAGAGGCTTTCAGAGAGCTCCTGGAGACTGGGGAGGGCAGAAATGAGCGAAAAACAGCCCGTTTTTTGCCCCCCAGGGGCCATTTTTTACTCGTTGCCCCCGCCCTCAGGAGCACTCTACAAGCCTCCTAAGGGCTATGCATGCCCTTTTTTGAAAAACAAAATAGGCCTGTTTTCATGAAAAACGGGGCTTTTTTGGGAGGTTTGCAGAGTGCAGAAACTTTTTTCAAAAAAAATTCCTCTTCAAAACCTTGCTGTGTCTTATACTCCAGTGAGTCTTATACTCTGAAAAATACGGTAAGTCTGTGCTATTGCTATTGCTACTCACCTTTATAACATAATGATAAATAATGATCAAGCTGACAGCCATGGCTACATTTGCCAGGAATGAGAACACAGACAGTTGCCTGAGATCCCGAATGAAAACCAAGAGCATTATAAACGGAAGAAAAAATAACATGTATATTCTCAGATCGATGGTCCTTCTGTCCGAGGGGCCAGCGGTTCCCGTGGTATTCGTAGCATACGATTTCATTTGAGCATATCCTTCAAAAACCTGCCGTAAATGAAGCAAAGAGAGAGAGAGAGAGAGATTTTATAATTGTATTTTATTTATTTTATTTATTTTATTTATTTTATTTATTTTATTTATTTTATTTATTTTATTTATTTTATTTATTTT